GTGGAAACGCGCCTTCTGCGTCTTCTGGCGAGCCGCCACAGGTAGCGGCCCGCCGTGGCCGCCCACAAGGCGTACCACCACCACCAGATGCAGTTGACGAAGGAGACCGACTGCGGAGAGCTACAAGAAACCTTCTTGCCTCAACCGGCTCGGGGGCTCCACGACTACCCGACTGGGCGAGATTTGACATCCAACACAGTTTGCAAAATCTCCGTAGTCACGAGCCTCATGTAGTTAAAAAGGAACTCCGTAAATTGCACCTACGGTGGTATCATGCGAAGGAACCCAAGATGAGGCTAATCCTAGACAAAACTGGGACTGGACAACGTTCGACTAAATATGATCAAAGAAGTCTGTGACACCCGTCGGGGATGTAGAGCTTGGGAACGTCCAGGAAATTCAACGCTACCTTCTGTAAGCCTTCCTGGAAATTGGCTTGATGAAGGTGGAATGGATCTCATGTTCTACAAGAAACGAACCATATTTCATATTATGGACCGTTGTATTCGCCTGGCAGCAGGCCAAGAGATTTCCGACAGAGAACGTGACGCTATACTCGACGCCTACCACTATTGCTGGATTGCCTATCATGGACTCTTCAAAGTCTTGTACTCAGATGGAGAAGGCGCCCTGAACAATGATACCGCCAAGGCCATGATGGCGAACAAGGGTGCAACACTCCGTATCCGAGCGCCTGGCCAACGCGCGACCTCGATCGAATCACGTAACGGTATTCTCAGGGGTGTTCTCCACATGGTTGAGGAAGAGCTAAACAGACACAACGTCCCTGTTGTATTCACTAGAGTATTGGCTGAAGGCATCTTCGTCACTAACGCCTTCACGTTTTACAACGGAGTATCGCCATGCCAAGCACACACTGGGCGACAGCTCTCCTTTCTTCCTGACCTCGACACCCTTGACTTCCCTGGGGCCCGAGACGTCAGGTCACGAACGAGAGCGTCGTGTGAGGGAAGTTCGCCTGGAAGCAATAACTCAAGCCACGGCTGTGGCCAAGACAAATCGTGCTCTCAGGGCTAGAACGGCCCCAGATGGTGCTCGCCTTTACTCAGCAGGGGATTTGGTCGACTACCATCGGCCTACTGCCACTAAGGGCGATCATGGAGGCTGGAATGGCCCATTTCCTGTGATCCGTAATGCGCCTGAACGAGGACACATCGTCGTCAAGGCAGGATCTCGTGAGTTAATTGTAATGTACCCTGATGCTCGTCACACGCTATACATTGAATGCCTCCTTACACGGGAACTCGGCATGGACAACATGGCCATGCAAACCGTCCTTACATATGTGGCACACCTTGGTGCAGGGAAACCTGCCAAAGTTTTCGGCTACATTCCAGACTATAAGGGAAACCTCAATCTTTCAGACGATAGCAAGTTTCACCCGCGCGTACATGTTGCACTACAGTATCTCGTGCGAAGTTATTTCCGAGTTGAACATGTAGTAGCAGTTAGACTGGCCAAGCGTGTGTCCTATCTACCTGGAGTAAAGTACGCCACCGGGTCTAGTCTGATCCACTACGATAGCGAGGTCAACACAGCCTTCCACTATTATGAGTGCGTGGGCACTGGCCTGAACATTTCTGAAATCACTGGTAGTACCCACTCCAGACTTATCCAATGCTTGACGTCACATGTTCCTTCCTCAGGATCTCATGACGACCTGGCCAAGTATCAGCACTCGGGTACCACGTCTGGAGAACACGACCAGCCTGGAGACAGGCCTCCACCAGACACTACAGGTGCTTCATCACTAAGTGAAGGCCGTCTGTCTACAATCTACGAAGAAAACGAGGAACATGACATAGAAACTATGATGATGGAGGAGTGGTGCGATGAGTTACGTATGGACCATCATCCCACAACGATCACCGACGATCATCTTTATTGCGTCCCAACAACTATGCTGCCCGACCAATGTGTTCTGGTCTCGGCATCCGTGGACGAAGAAGATATCGTAGTGTCGGAAATGCTCGGAGACGAGCCTGAACCCCAAGAGCCTTGTCTTGTCTCTCTTTGCTCGACTACACCTGATGAGGGTTATTGTCTTGACAGTGATGAACATGTTCCTTATGTTGAATTATGTTTTACCCCAGAAATGTCAAAAATAGTATAGGATCAGACCCAACTTGCACAGCTCGATGCTGGCATGGTCGCAGCGATGAGAGTATACGTATCCTCGGCTGCTAAACGTGCTGTGGTAGCTAAGGAAGACGACCTACTCACCAAAGCCGACATAGCAGCACACCCTAAAGAGGTTAGTGAATCTTTGTGCACCGAGCTCAAAATGTGGCTTGATAACCGATGCTGTGAAATTTATGACCTATCTAAAGCTTCCAACACCATGACATCCAGGTATGTATATAAGTGGAAGTTTGTGAAGGTAGGTACCGAGAACGTTAACCACATCCGTCTCAGACTTGTCCTTCGTGGATTTATGGACACGGAGGCGTTTGATGTGGAAACCTTCTCAGGAACTGTTCGAAGGCAGTCCCAGAGGCTCCTGGCAAGTGAGGCGGCATGCCATCCAGAATGGATCTTAGCATCCATGGATATCGACAAAGCGTTCCTCAAGGGCTTGACCTATGAGGAACTTGCTCATGCCACCGGCGAGGAAACTCGCGTGGTTTGCTTCGCTCTTCCACCAGGAAGCGCCCAGGTACTTCGTACTTTGCCCGGCTTCTCTTCTTATGATGAAAGCCGACACTGCCTCAGGTGTCTCAAGCCAGGGGCGGGTGCAAAGGGCGCCCCAAGAGCGTTCCCCCTCAAGCTTCGTACGACCACACGAGCTATAGGCCTTACACCGACAAGTTATGATCCTGAATTCGAATTCAGTCAAGATCTGTTAACAGCAAGACATGTCGACGACATCAACATGACAGGCCTGGAGAAAACTATGGATGACAATGTACAACGTGTCGAGAAGGTGTTTGGTAACTACAAACTCAACAAACATTCCTATACTAACTGCGCCGTTCGTTACACCAAGAATGACCAGGGGGATGTGATCATTGATCAGGACGAGTACATTAAGCAACTACGTCCTATCACACACCCCGAACTCACAGGAGCGGCGGCAGACGCCAAAACCACCAAACTCATCACCGAGATGTTCGTCTGCCTGCGAGGAGCCCTTGCTAATGCCCTTCTTACACAAGTCTGGCTTATGGTGTATGTGGTCTGTCTTCAGAAATCCAAGAGCCCACCAACTTACAAGTCAGACGACTGAATGCTGCGACGCGAAAGTTGATCAGCAGCCCGAAACGCATCACCTTCCCTCGGATGAGGCCGACGAACGAAGTTGATATACACAGTGATTCGGGGTATCGGAAGCTCACCGGGGAGGGAGACGATGAGACCAAGGGCTACGGCATACGCGGGGCCAACGTACTACGGCGAGGAAACTCGCCTCAAGGCAAGCCCGTCGTTCACCTTTGTGACGGACTATGTAAATCACATCGACTGCAGGTGGGGTCCAGCTATGCTGCTGAGGCACTTGCAGCTGCACGCAACCTTGATGAGTGCTACCCTACGTTCATCACTCTCCACGAGCTCAAGACAGTGGCTCGGCCTCCACGACAACTACGAGATATGCGTGAAGTTGGAGGCCTAGCTATTAAAGTATCCCTTACCATAGACGCTGAGTCCGTATGCAAATCGTTATCCAGCAAAGATCTTAAGATACCGACGGAACGGACTTTGCTGGGTCATATCAGCTGGATACGTGAGCTCATGGATATAGGTATAGTGCATCATGTGCAGTGGTGTGATACTAGAGATATGACCGCAGATGGGCATACAAAAGGGAGTATCGATCGGGAGCTGCTTTTGGAAGTGATGTCAGGTACTCAGTCATTTAAGTACGACGTGAAGCAGTTTGTTCCCTTTCGGGGCCCGGAGGACAGAAACAAGCTTAAGTCTAATCAATTTTAGTCTGTCCTTGTTGCCCCCGCGGTCCAGTTTGCCAGCATGGGCGCCTAATACAGAGGCGCCCTTCTAGGTGCTCGGAAACGAGCCTTCCATGTCACGCTTGGTAACGAGCCTGTTCAGTTTGGTGCAGGCTTCTTGCCTTAATGCCCGCTTGCTCGGAGAGGTATAGCCCGTTTGGCTTACCTCTAGCCGGGCCGATAGCCCTTTGACATCCAAGGGGCTATCTCGTATTTGCGTGAAATACTTTGCGAGGAAACTCGCCTTACAGTGTGGTGTTAGGCCAGACTGTACGCACTGTTTCTCTTGCGAACAGTCGTGCGCGCGGCCTTTGTAGAGCCTGACGGCTGCGCGGCTATACTCACCGTCTCCTCCCCTCCCGACTTTAAGGGTAGCTCTTTGGGAGATGTTATATAGAATCGGGAGCATAGCTCGCGCGCCGTTGCCTTTTTGGCTCAAGGCACGCCCGCCCTATTTGCCCGGACACTGCGAGTGTTCGCTATGTGCTGGAAAGATCATTACATTGATCTTATCCTATCTTATCCGTCCATTCCTCTTACTGAACAACCTCAGTGCGAAACCGGACGCTATTTGCCATTCGCTTCCCATGGAATCGGACGCTGTTTGACTTACCATAGTCACTTCAGACTCTGCGGGCCTCCTGGGCCGTCTGGGGGCCATCGTGGGCGTTTTGGATCGATTTTTCGGCGGCTTGTGGTTCCTGGACTGTCCGGAGGGCCTCCTGGTACCCTCTTGGCCTGTTTTGGAGCATTTTGCTCCCCCGTGATGCGTTCGACCAGTCCCCAGGGGACCCCTCCCCCTCCAAATCGACTGGGCCAGGCTTTTGGGGGAGGGGTTTGGGGAGGGGAATCAACATCTCACACGCCGATGAATTCCAAGGGGTCGGCGGATTGGCCATGGACCCCGGATGATACTAGTATCGTACCTTGAAGTACTGGCTCCCAGGCCCACCTGTGCCACGCCTTCTTATCTTCTTCGTGCTTCTTCTGTCCCTGTATTCCGCCGCGCGGCTGGCCATCGCGATGCATCGCATCCAGGATATCGGCGCATCGTGAACGTTGACACCTCCGCTGTGGTCATCAAGCAGATGGCACTAGGGGCTGGCGCGCGTCGTGTCGAGTGTCCGTCTAGTCTAGATTGTCGGCCTGTGCATCTGAGAGAGCGAGGCTGTCCGCGGTTCCGTCCGTTCGGCCGCGCTGCAGTCGTTTGCGTTTGGTCGGTTCGGTTTGGTCGGCTGTCGTGTCGTTGATGCGTCGCTGCGCCCTTCTAGGCTGCCTGCGGCCTGTCGGTTCCGGTCGGTTTTGGCTCCGCTGTCGGTTCCCCCCGTTTTCGGTTGTGCCGTCGCCGTGGGCGGCCCTGAACAGAACGGCGCGTTCGGGCGAGGAGGCGGTGAGAGGCCGGAGCGAGGCGGAGACCCGGGGAGGCAGACTGGGGCCAGAGGGCCGCGGGCGGAGCGGCGAAGGAGCAGCGTTTCCGGCCAGCACGATGCGGGGGCCGGGCGGGGTCGTGCGTGGTGGCCGCTGGACGGCCGCGGTGCAGCTGTCAGGGCGGGGCAAGGCACCCATCACGGGCGTTCGCAGGCGAGGAGTCCTGGGCGTCTGCTCGGCAGCCCTGCCCCGTTGGGCTCCCTCAGGCGCGCCTGCTGGAAGGCTTCGCTCGCAGGGGGGTTCCTGAGCTGGACACGCCGTCGTGAGGTAGCGAGGCGTGCGCCAGGCGCCGTGCATGTGCGGCCTCTCCTCTCGACCCTCCCGAGGCCCTCCCCCCACCCTCGCCGGGGCGCACTTCGATCCGATCCGTTCGGTTCGATGCCGATTTCGGCTGGTTCGATCTGGCTTTCGCCGGGCTTCGTTTCGCTGGGCTTGCTTTCGCCGGGGTTGGCTTTCGCCGGGCTTCCTTTCGCCGGGTTTTTTTTCGCCAGGGTTGACTTTCGCCGGGCTTCGTTTCGCCAGGGTTAGCTTTCGCCGGGTTGGCTTTCGCCGGGGTTGGCTTTCGCCGGGGTTGGGCGCGGGCTCCAAAAGGCGGGTCGGATCGGGCAGGCGGGCCCTAATGGGCGAGACGGATCGGGTCGGATTGGGCGGACCCTAACGGGCGGGTCGGGTCGGGCGAGTGGGCACGCTCGAGTGAGGACGCGTGAACCCTAACGAGCGGATCGGGTCGGGGGGGCGGACCCTGCCGGGCGGGGCGGATCGGTTCGGGTCGGGCAGACCCAACAAGCGGGCCGGGTCGGGCGGGCGGGACATTAAAGTGTCGCTCGAGTGAGCACGCGTGAACCCTTACGGGCGGGTCGGGTCGGGCGGGCGGACCCTAACGGGCGGGACGGACGGAACAGGTCGGGCGGACCCTAACGGGCGGGTCGGGTCAGGCGGGCGGGACACTAAAGTGTGGGGCACGCCCGAGCGAGCACGCGTGAACCCTGACGGCGGGTCGAGTCGGGCAGGCGGACCGTAACGGGCGGGACGGGTCGTGTCGTGTCGGGCGGACCCTAACGGGCGGGACACTACAGTGTGGGGCACGCCCGAGCGAGCACGCGTGAACCCTAAGGGGCGGGTCGGGTCGGGTCGGGCGGGTGGACCCTAACGGGCGTGCCGTTTGTCGTTTGGCATCCCATTGGCACACGTTCGCTTGTATAATCAACGTAGCGCATCCCGCTGATGCTTTCACTGTGTGGGAGCAGCCTGTCCCGAAACAAAAGTCTGAGAGCTTGTGAGTGTGTGTTTCACTCGCCTTCGGTTTTAGCCCGCCGTTGGTACCTTCTCGCGCTCGCTTCACGGCTATCTGGCGCCGTTTCCGCGGTGTCCTCGTTCGCTCCTCTACAGCCTTTCTTTTTGCTGTATCGTCTGGTTTTCGAAACGGTTCGCCTACGTTCGTTTCTTGCCTCGGCTGGTGCACTTCTTCGCAAGGATGCCAATTCGATGTAATCGCGACCCGATGTTTGGTTTCGTGGCTTGGACCCAGCCGCGTATAGGAGGGAAAGCTCTTTGTGTGCATCATGTGGGCTCTCTCGGCCGTGGCCAGGCCAGGGACATCCATGCAGCCGGTGTCTGCCCAGCAAAGACAGAGATAATGCAACCCGTCCAATCTTGTTGTGTATGTGTTTGGTCTTTGGCGAGGTGCAGGGTAAACGTCTTCCGAGGAGTATCCAGGCGTTCGATATTGTTCCTTTCTATTACTTAGGACCCCTGGGTTATCGACTCTATCCTCGGGGCTAGTTTTTTGTCGCGGCTGGTGTGTCGATTGTTCAGGGGTCCGAACGCGGCTCCTCACACGTCAGAGTGACCCTTTGCCAGAGTGGCCTCTGGTGCGCGGCCTTCAGGGGCGCGGGGGGTGCCGAGCCCCAGCACGCGGGCCGCCGCTGTCGCGCCGCATGCGGCGATCGGCAAGCAGGTCCACTCCTGCGTCTGCCCGATCTCAGAGGGCCCCGTGCAGGAGAATCGGCGGCGCGCCGAGGGGGACAAGCGAGAGGGGGCGGGCCTCTCCGGCAGGCGGCATGGCTTCTCAGAAGCCCTCCGGTCTTCCGAGAGGCCCCCCCCAGCGCGTTCGGAGGAGGCACATAAACTTCTCAGAAGGGCGGAGGCCCTCTGAGCCTTCTGAGAAGGCCCGCCCCCCTCTGCCTCCCCCTCTGGTCGCGCCGCCGAGAGGAGGAGAGGCCGGTGGGCCGTTCCGAAGCAAGAGGGGGGTCGAGAGGCTGGACCCAGAGGGGACGGGCCAGACGATGCCGAGGTGTAAAGATGGAGGCCTCCCAAGATGGGCCGAAGTAGACGGGGCCAGAGGGCTGCATTGCACAGCCGACGCACCGACGATGCACTGGCGACGCATCGGCGGTGTCGGGATGGAGAAAATGGGGCTCCAAATCATGCCCATCACCGATGCATATGCAATGCGGGTAGATCCTCTGGCCCCATCTGCTCTGGCTCCATTCGGGCGGCCTGGAGAAGAGGGAATGGGTGTCAAGCAGTGGAGCCGTCTGGAGACAGCCCCGCTCGTTACTCTGAAAGAGCGCGCTCGCAGCGCCGGGAATAAGGAAAGGGGGGCCCCAGCTTCAAGCTACCCCCCCCCTCCCTTCCAAAAGGGGGGGGAAGTTCCGAAGCTACCCCCTCCCCTCCCTTTGTAAGGGTTTCTAAGCTAGGGGGGCCCTGGCTAACGGGGGGGGGCTTCGAAGCTATCCCCCAGCTCCCTCCTTTCTCCGGAGCAGAAGGTGAGCCCAGGCTTCCCTTTCAAAGGGGGGAAGCTGCCCCCCGTCCTTCGTTTTTTGGTCTGGACACAGGGGGGGACGGCTTCAAGCTGCCCCCCTCCACCCTCCTTTGCAAAAGGGGGGGGGCTTCCGAAGCTACCCCCCTTTCCTTCCTTCCGTGGTCATGGTAAAATGGCTGAATCTCTGCAGACAGGTGCGCGCCGCAGCGCTACAGAACGCCTTGGGCAATAACGTCGACCCCTGGTTCGTTTTCTTGTTTTCTTGTTTTCGCTGCCCCTTGTTCGTAGTCTCGTTTTCTCGGGCCCTGATTCCTTTTATCGTTTTCTCGTTTTCTCGGTCCCTGGTTCGTTTTCTTGTTTTCTCGTGTTTTCGGCGCCTGGGTCGCGGTCTCGTTTTCTCTGACCTTGGTTCGTGTTCTTGTTTTCTCGTTTTCTCGGTCCCTGGGTCGTGGTCTCATTTTTTCAGACCTTGCTTAGTTTTCTCGTTTCTCGTTTTCTCTGCCCCTGGGTCGTGGTTTTGTTTTCTCAGGCGCTGGTTAGTATCATCGTTTTCTGGTTGTCTCGGGCCCCGGGTGGTGGTCTCGTTTTCTCTGACCCTGCTTCGTTTTCTCTTTCCTTCGTTTTCTCGGCTCGTGGATCGTGGTCGCGTTTTCTCGAACCAAGCGTTTTCCGGTGATCTCGGCCCGTGCGTCGTGGTTTCGTCAAACCCTGGTTCGTTTTCTCGTTTTTTCGGCCCCTGGTTCGTGGGTCGTTTTTTGTTTTCTCGGCCCCTTGGTCGTGGTCTCGTTTTCTCGGGCCCTTGTTCGTTTTCTCGTTTTCTCAATTTCTCGGCGCCTGGTTCGTAGCCTCGTTTTCTCGGGCCCAGATTCCTGTTACCGTTTTCTCGTTTTCTCGGCCCGTGTGTCGTGGTCGTGTTTTCTCGGACCCTGGTTCGTTTTCGTGTTTTCTGTGCCTTTGGGTCGTGGTCTCGTTTGCTCGGACTTTGGTTAGTTTTCTCTTTTTCTCGTGTTCTCCGCCCCTGGGTCGTGGCCTCGGTTTCTCGGACCCTGGTTTGTTGTCTCGTTTTCTTGTTTCCTCGGCTTCTGGGTTTTTGTGCCGTTTTCTCGGGCCCTGGTTCGTGGTCTCGCTTTCTTGTTTTCTCGGCCTCTGGGTCGTGGTATCATTTTTCCTCGCACCCTGGTTACTTTTATTGTTTTCTCGTGTTCTCGACCCCTGGGTCGTGGTCTCGTTTTCTCTGATCCTGGTTCGTTTCTTGGTTTCTTGGCACCTAGATCGTGGTCCCGTTTTCTCGGGCCCTGGTTCGGATTCTCGTGTTCTCTGTTTCTCGGCCCCTGGGTTGTGGTTTTGCTTTCTCTGACCCTGGTTCGTTTTCTCGTTTCTCGGCCCCTGGGTCGTGGTTTCGTTTTCTCGGACGCTGGTTTGTTTTCTCGTTTTCTCGTTTTCTCGGCCCCTGGGTCGTAGTCTCGTTTTCTCGGACCCTGGTTCGTTTCACGTTTTCTCGTTTTCTCGGTCCTTGGGTCGCGGTGTCGTTTAGTAGTTTCTTTTTCTTTCTCCGTTTCTTGTTGTTGTTGTTGTTGTTGTTGTTGTTGTTGTTGTTGTTGTTGTTGCTGTTAGTTTTCTTGTGTTCTCCGCACCTGGGTCGTTATTTCGTTTTCTCGACCCTGGTCCATTGTCTCGTTTTCTCGCTTTCTCGGCCCCTGAGTCGTGGCCTCGGTTTCTCTGACCCTGGTTAGTTTTCTCGTTTCCGCGTCTCCTGGATCGTGGTCTTGTTTTCTCTGACCCTGGTTAGTTTTCTCGTTTTCTTGTTTTCGCGTCTCCTGGGTCGTGGTCTTGTTTTCTCTGACCCGGGTTAGTTTTCTCGTTTTCTTGTTTTCTCGGCTCCTGGGTCGTGGTCGTGTTTTCTCTGACCATGGTTCGTTTTCTCGTTCTCTTGTTTTCTCGGCTCCTGGGTCGTGGTCCAGTTTTCTCGGACCCTGGTTTGTTTTCTCGTTTTCGCGTTTTCTCTGCCCCTTGGTCGTGGTCTCGTTTTCTCCGGACCCCGTTTCGTTTTCTCGTTTTCCTGTTTTCTCGGACCCTTGGTCGTGCTCTCGTTTTCTCGGGCCCTGGTTCGTTTTCTCGTTTTCTTGTTCGTGGTCGTGGTTTGGTTTCCTAGGACCATTGTCGGTTTTCTCGTTTTCTCGTTTTCTCGGCCCCTGGGTCGTGGTCGTGTTTTCTCTAACCCTGGTTCGTTTTCTCGTTTTCTCATCATCTCTGACCCTGGGTCATGGTCTCGTTTTTCTTTTGACCCTGGTTCGTGTTCTCGTTTCTTGTTTTCTCGGCCAATGGGTCGTGGTCCAGTGTTCTCGGACCCTTGTTAGTTTTCTCGTTTTCTTGTTTTCTCGGTCCCTGGGTCGTGGTCTCGTTTTCTTGGACGCTGGTTTGGTTTCTCGTTTTCGCATTTTCTCGGACCCTCGGTCGTAGTCTCGTTTTCTCGGACCCTGGTTCGTTTTCTCGTTTTCTCGTTTTCTCGGCCCCTGGGTCGTGGTCTCGTTTTCTCGGACCGATACTGGCGTTTTCTCAGCCTGTGTCGTGGTCTCGTTTGCTCGGACCTTGGTTCGTTTTCTCGTTTCTTCGTGTTCTCCGCCCCTGGGTCGTTTTCTCGTTTGCTCGGACCCTGGTCCATTGTCTCGTTTTCTTGTTTTCTCGGCCCCTGGGTTTTTGTGTTGTTTTCTCTGGCCCTGGTTCGTTTTCTCGTTTTCTCGGCCCTTGGGTCGTGTTCTCGCTTTCTCGGTCCCTGGTTCGTTTTTGTTGTTGTCTCGTTTTCTCGGCCCCTGGGTCGTGGTTTCGTTTTCTCGGGCACTGATTTGTTTTCTCGTTGTGTCGTTTTGTCGGCCCCTGTGCCATGGTCTCGTTTTCTCGGACCCTGGTTCGTTTTTTCGGACCCTGGTTCATTTTCTCGTTTTCTCGTTTTCGCGGCCCCTGGGCCGTGGTCTCGTTTTTACCCAACAGCGAAGACTGAAAGGTTTCTATTGGTCTCAAAAGAGAGCATCATGACCCCGCAGGGGGGTCTGGGCAGATGCCGGACGGGTGCAGCGGGAATCCGGGGAATGCCGCGGGAATCCGGGGACTCCCCATTTTCATTGCCAGGAGCCACATTTTGATTGCCCAGAGCCAACAGAACACCACTCCCAGGCCACATTTTGAATGCCCGGAGCCAACTGTAGGCCACTTCGTGTTCCTCGTGCTCCCAGAACACCATTCCCAGGCCATATTTTGAATGCACGGAGCCAACCGTAGGCCACTTCGTGTTTTTCGTGTTCCCAGAACACCATTCCCAGGCCACATTTTGAATGCCCGGAGCCAACTGTAGGCCACTTCGTGTTCTTCGTGTTCCAGAACACCAATTTGCATCATAATTTGAATGCCCGGAGCCAACTGTAGGCCACTTCGTGTTCTTCGTGTTCCCAGAACACCATTCCTGCACCATATTTTGATTGCCCGGAGCCAACTGTGGGCCACTTCGTGATCTTCGTGTTCCCAGAACACCAGTCCTGTGCCATAGAATGCCCGAGCTTTGTTGCCATGCCTGATGCTGAGGCAGGCCTGAGGCAGGCTGAGGCGCAGGCTGGCTGGCTGAGGCTGCTGAGGCTGAGGCAGGCTGAGGCTGAGGCTGAGGCTGAGGCTGAGGCTGAGGCTGAGGCAGGCTGAGGCTGAGGCTGAGGCAGGCTGAGGCTGAGGCAGGCTGAGGCTGAGGCCGAGGCAGGCTCAGGCCGAGACAGGCTGAGGCTGAGACTGAGGCTGAGGCTGAGGATGAGGCCGAGGCAGGCCGAAGCTGAGACAAGGTGAGGCTGAATGGGGGGGGGGGAAGGGGGGGGGAGGAGGGGAGGCTGAGGCAGGCTGAGGCCTGGGCAGGCTGAGGCCGAGGCAGGCTGAGGCTGAGGCTAAGGCAAGCCGAGGCAGGCTGAGGCTGAGGCTGAGGCTGAGGCTGAGGCAGGCTGAGGCTGTGGCAGGCTGAGGCTGAGGCTGACGCAGGCTGAGGCCGAGACAGGCTGAGGCTGAGGCTGAGGCAGGCTGAGGCTGAGGCCGAGGCTGAGGCTGAGGCTGAGGCTGAGGCAAGCCGAGGCAGGCTGAGGCTGAGGCTGAAACTGAGGCAGGTTGAGGCATGCGTAGGAATCCATAGGAATCCTTAGGAATCCCTAGGAATCCTTAGGAATCCGTAGGCATCTTTAGGAATCCGTAGGCATAGTTAAGCATCCTCAGGAATCCTTAGGAATCCTTAGGATTCCATTGGATCCTATGGCCGTTGCCACTGCGACTGTCATTGCGAATGCGACTGCGACTGCGAGAACAGCAGAATTCGACAACTGGATTCTCACCTGAATCTTGAGGGGAATGCTTCCAGATATGCTTATACACATCGCTGTTAGGTTGCTTTGCTGGGATAATCTCTGATCTGGTTCGTCGTCGTCGTCAGTCGTCGGTCGTGCGTCATCCGTCGTCCGTCGCCGTCTTCGTATGACCTCGTCCTCGTCCTCGTCGTGACGACCACGGCGAAGTCATACGAAGACGACGACAATGACGGCGACGGCGGCGACGACGACAAGGACGACGACGGCGTCGTACGAAGACGTTGAGCGACGGCGACGGCAACGACGACGGCGACGGGCGAGGATCGTCCGGCAGGGAGAGTTCAAGGGAGGAGGGTGGTAGCTAAGCCGCCCCTCCCCTTCTGGAAAGGGGGGGAGGGGAGGGGAGCTTCCGGCAGGGGGGAGAAACATTGAGGGAAGGCGGGGGGGGCTTCCGGCAGAGGGGGGTCGAAGGAGGGGGGGGTAGCTAAGCTCCCCTCCCCTTTCGTAAGCGGGGGAGGGGGGGGGGGGGAGCTTCCCGGGTGCCGAAAGGGGGGGAGGGGGGGGCTGCCAGGCCCCCGCCTCCTCGGAACCAGGGGGGGGGGGGGGGGCAGAAGGGGGTCAAGGGGAGGAGGGGGGTAGCTAAGCCCCCCCCCTCCTTTTGGAAAGGGGCGGAGGGGGGGGGGTAGCTTCGGAGTGGCGAAATGGGGGAGGGGGAGTGTAGCTTCACGGGGAGGCGAAAAAGGGGGGAGGGGGGGAGCTTCCAGCAGGGGAGGTGGAAGGGAGGGGGGGGGTAGCTAAGGGGCCCCCCCCCTTTGCTCCGGCGCTGTGGGCGCGCTCTCTCGTTACTCTGTTCCTCTTCGTTCGTCGCTGTCTTCTTCCTGGCCTTCTCCGAAGAACTGGCCTCATCCTCTTCTGTTTTGTGCGTTTCTGCCCTAGAGGGAGGCTGATCGGAACAGAGAGCTTCGACCAGAGTTGCAGTGGCTCGTGGTGTGCCTTTCGCTTCCTATATATTTGCTTCATTATTCTCTCACTCTCTCTCTCTCTCGCTTTTTTCCTCTCTCTCAATCTCACTGTCTGTGTGTCTCTCTCCTCGCCCGTCTGCATGTTGCACAGGCAGCACGAGGGTCATAGTCGCGAGAGCTGGTGTCAGATGTACTAGACCACGCTGGGCCGATGCTCCCTTTAGAATAAGTGCTAGAGTATCGTAGGTGGACCCGATGCTCGTCCCGCACCCTCGGCATTCCGAGGTTTCTGGACGTTTCCAGTGCGCAACACGAGGTCGTTTGGGGATCGCTCCTCCACCCTTCCTCCCTTCCTTCCCTCCCGCCTTCCTCCTTCTTCTCTCATCTTCTCCTCATCCTTTTCTCCTTTCTTCCTCCCTCCTCGGGGTTCGGAGGCTGCCGGACTGCATTGGAGGAGTGCTTCATCCAGTCGAGGCCCACTGGGCCTCGAATCGACCTCTGTCGCGAAACGTATAGACCCTGTGCACTTTGCGCATCCTCGCCGCGGTCCACCCAGAAACGGTTCGTACGTGTACGAGCTGTTGTGAGAAGGGTGAGAAGGAACGCGGATAAGCATGAGTGGCATGTTTTTTCTCTTTCCCACAGCATGTGTTAACGTATCATTGCGACAGAAGGGTGCGTAGGTCACGGAATACTTGTTTGAGGCGGCAGTGACGGATTCGCAGCAGAGATTATGATGTTGAGTGTGAATGGCGAACGTTGTATGCCTGAAGTGATCCAGGCTTGTATCTTGAGCATGAGTTGAACACAGAGGGGGAACGCCATCCACTCCAGTCGAGCGGTCAGTCAAAACACTGGAGGGGCCATTCGAGCGGTAGCTTTTCCATGCTGATACTTGTGCACAGTGTCTGACCGTCCTCTGCTTTACAATGGCGGAGCATCATGTATCTTCTGTCGTGGCTGTATCCTCATTCAGTTGTCCATCATGGCTTAGCTTTGCAATTTCAGGCGTAGCGTGATGCAGATAGGGTTCGTTTGGCCTGGTTTGTGATGGCCCGGCTCCGCTCATATTAGGGTAGACCCAATGGGCGTAAGTCAGTTTAGTCAGGATTGGTTTGGCATAGCTTGCTGTGGCTTTGCTTGAATTAGCGTGGCTCTCTTGAGTTGAATTTCTCGAATCCTAGCCTAGCCTTGCTTAGCAGAGCTGCGCTTGGCACAGCTGGTTTCAGCGTATGCTAGCAGAGCGTAGGCTGGCTGGTTACGCAGTATCTTATCTTAGCGCGGCTTAGGGTCTTACCTCTCGAACTGGCCCTAATGGGAAATCTTGGAGCCTCTCGGAGGCCTCTAGGACTCTAGGAGCTCTCGTGAGGCTCCCTTCTGGCCACGCTGGTGGCCGTCGACCAATCACTAATAGTATCAATTGGCCTCGCTTCTAGAGTCCGAATAACTGCCTCCTGCAGCCCCTTGGAAGTCTCGTAGGGTGCTCTTGCAAGCCTTTGGGCCCCTGTTGGGGCCATCTTGTGCATCTCTGGGGCCTCGAGTGTCGACGCCCCAGAGACCCATGGGACGTCCAACATTGGAAATGGTGGCCATCTTTGGACAGCGTTTGTTTATCGAATTCGGCCTTGCCTTCTGCAAACTAATGCCAAGCAGCGCCAAGCAACGCCAAGTAAAGCCAAGCAACGCCAAGCAAGGCAGCGCAGTATGCTCAGGTGCTTACTTCGGAAGCCTTCCCCTAATTTGGATCGTGCCAGGTTCGTATTCAATGATCTTGGCCTCTGGAGAGAACGCTTGGAAGGCTCAGGGGAAATCCAGGGCGATGCTGGGGCCCTCTCGAGGCCCCTGCGGGGTATACTTGAGGCCACCTGGGCCACCTGGGGCGGGGCTCTCCGACAGTCCATGGACTCGGGAGGCTTCCCGGAGTTGCCATGGACTGTCGGGGGGCCCTCGTGGGCCCTCCGAGCTACCGCAGCGAGGGCGTCCGGCCCCCCGGGGTGGGCCGCGGGAGCCTCGGGGGGGGCCCTCCGTGGGCTGGCGGCGAACTCCGAGCCCAGCCCTGGCCGATCCGCGATTCGGGCAGCTCCACGGGCGGCGGGGGCAGGGCCCGGAATGCGCCGAGCTCGCGGGGAGATCTGCAGGCCCTGCCCCCCGCCTCCCGTCGGTGCAGGAGAAGCGACGGTCGGTGGGGGGCAGTGCCTTTGGAGGGTCGCCAGCCCGGCGGGCCTCCGAGGGCCCCCGAAGAGGCCGCCGAGGGCGACGGCCACGGCGACCCGCCGCGCCCCCACTCGGCGGCCCGTGGGTCCCGATCAGGCGGACGTCACTCGCATGACGGAGTTCGCCGACGAGAGTCCGGGGAGGGAGGGCCCGGCCCTCCCCTCTTGGGCGGCGAGATCTGTGCGTGCCCACCGCCGCTGGCCAGTTCCGTCCTGGGCCCAGGAGCGGTGCGCAGGTCTCCCGGGGCCCAAGCCAGGGGGGGGCGTACACACCGCTTCTGGCCCCAGGATGGGCTTGCCCAGCGGCGGCGGAGGGAGGGCTCTTCTTGGAGTTGGCTGGGCGTCTGAGGTGGCCCAGCACTGGCTCAGGGGGCAGGATGGGGGGGCGAGTGTCGAGGTGCCGGGCTCGGGACGTTTTTTGTTGTTGTTGTTGGTTATTCTTTTTGATTTTTTGCCTTTCTCGGTCTCCGGGGGCCGTTTCGGGCCCCAGGACCGTCAGACACGGATCCAGGGTGGGAAATTGCACTAGGTGGACCCTTTGTTGGCAGATCTTCTCGGGGCCCATCCAATTCAGGCGCCCAGGACACCTCCGAGGCCCTTCCTCGTTTTTTCGCTGAGCGGACACTGGTTGGATGGCCGTTGCGTCAAATACGCGTGCAGGATAACAGGAAACGCATGCGGGTGCACGAATAATAGACAAGCCGTGCGCGAACGAAGAAAAGGAAGGGCAACGAATGGCGGGAAAGCAGAGAAGCCCGCAAGGGCGTAGAGAAACGCACAACGGCAGCGATTCCCATTGCCTACAACTCTCACGGCAAAGCCCAACGCACAACGGCAAAGGATTCCCAACGTCCTTACCTCACCTCTTCTCCCCGTCGGCCCCCCCTCCGCCAGACCTCCCCACCAGACCTCTAAGACAGCTCGAGACAGACCGCTCCCCAAATCGGACCCCTCTTTTCTTGAGAAGTCCGCAGTGTCCACATCCACCGCTTCGGAGTCGTTCTCCAGGAGCTCGACGGGTGGTGGGTATGGATATTTGTCTGCTCCTAAGGGCGGCGTATCGCGAAGGCCTTACGGCCGATGCCGCCGACCCTGTAGGCAGCGACGACGAAGACAATGAAGGTAGAGGAGTCCAAGATGCCCTCAGATGGCTCGAAGACGGCGCCAGATGCCTGCAAGGTCGTCGGAAGACAGCTCAAGAGGCTTCCTCCAGGGTTCGGGACCGGCTCCAGAGAGTGCCAAGATAGGGAAAGAGCGCCCTCAAGTGGCCCGAGAGGGTTCCAAGACGGCGTCAAGCGAGGTCCAAAAGCGCCCGCAGAGGCTGTCAAGAGTGCCGCCAGAGGCTGCCAAGAGAGTCTAAAGATGGCGAAAGGTCTCCAAGGAGCCTTAAGATAGGCTGAAAGGGCCCGCAGACGGACCCGGAGGGCCAGCGGAACCCCAGGACGCAGGAGGATGAGAGGCGGGGGGCTGCGTATCCGAGGGGGACCCCCCCCCGGGAGTTGCCCCGGGACCCCCCCCGGCGGGGAAGAGATCAAGGGAAGGGGCTTCCTTTCGACTGAAGGACGACGTTGTTCAATTTTTGTATGGGCTTGTGTAGGAAGCCCTCGGAAAGCAGAAGAGGCGACTTCGCTGTGGCGAAGACGGAAAGGCCTCTTCCACACGCCGACAGGGTCGGCGGATCTTGTTCTAAGTTGTTCAGACGGCTCTAGATTTCCCTGGCGCGGCCTAACGGAGCTGTCACATTGGCCAGACGAGGTCCCACGAAAAACCCGCGGTGGCCCAGGAGGTCTGGTGCGCAGGCCAAGCGCGAGCAGTCCCACATCATCACTGAGCCCGAAAAAGCACCCCCCGACGGCGTGATGACCCGGCCAAAATGGACCCAGGATGGCTTGAAGACAGCCCAAAAGATTCCGCTGGGCGGAGGGCGGCGGATCTTATTGAAAAAAACGCCCCCGAGGGTGCAGACACCGCCGACCTGCTGTTTTTGGAGCGCGGTCGCTTTCACGACGTGCACCCCGCGACCGGATTTGCCGAGGCTCGCTATAGAAAAAAGTGGACCACCTGAGTAGCACTGGGGCACACAGAGGCGAGGCGTTCCAAGAAGCCTCGAGCAGTTGCTGATAATCTGTTCCTGGAAGCCGAGAGCCCCGACAAGCCGCCGGACGGCCGCAGAGAGGCTGGAAAAAACGCAAACAACCGCTGGGGTCGGCCCAGACAGGGCGCTGGGGGGCCCCGAGAGGGGCCCCGGGTCGAGTGCGGCGGAGTGGTGCGAACGAGGGGATCAAGCGGTGACAAAGCGTCCTGGCTGGCCTATAGGCCCGCCGAAGAATGTTCTAAGAACCTTTGGTGGCTTGGACGAAATGTGCTTAGAACATGTCTGGCTGAGACAGTCCTGTTTATGCATCGGGCAAATGTTCTACGAACACCTTTTCTGTTTTTTTCGTCATTTGTGTCCTACGAACATTTCGTGGTTGATCGGTTGGTCCCTGCTAGAGGGAAGCGGGAGGGAAACACAAAACATTGCGACTTAGTTCTCGGCTCCTGGAAAAGGCTCCGAGGACCTCTGTATGGGGCGCCCAGCACGACCGAAAACAGTGCCCAGAAAGCGCCCAGAGAGTTCGGGGGGGTGGGGCCGTGATGAAGGAGGGACATGCACGTGAACTCCAAGAGAGGTGCAACGGAAAGCCCGAGACGGCTGGAATCGTCAAAGTCGCATATGTGATTGTAAGGTTTTTGGTCATCGGGGGTTGTAGGTGTTTTGAAACCGAGGGCCCCGACCGGTTTGGGAGGCTCCCGGAGAGGTTTCCGAGAGGGCCCTGCGGCGCCCAGAACACTAGAACCTGAAGCGGGAGTCGTTTTGAGACGGAAATGGTGGCCAGAGGGCGTCTTGGCTGCGCTCAACGCCTTCGGGGCCAGCGGAGTGAGCGGTCCCCAGGGGGGGAACCCGGGAGTGGTTCGGATAGCGGTTCAGAGGCAGTACGAAAAGTGCGCTAGTGAGAATACTCAGGAGGAACAGTCCTTTCAGATCATGCGTTGGTGGTCTCATACGCCGTACCCAGTGGGGCGGCGTATGGCTTCGCTCAATCCGCTGGCCCGATTCGTATGTAGTGTTTAGTGACCTTCGGTCAGGCCGGGCCGTGGGCAAGCGGCCTTGTTGGGAGGCCTGTCGGGGTCTCTCTTGGGAGGCTTCGTGGGTGCCTCGTGGCCGCATTCTGGGGCCTCTTTGGGGCCTCTGGGGGTGACTTGGGGGCCTCCCTCCTCCCGCCAGGCGGAAGGCGGCGGATCTTGCAACGTTTTCGCCCCCTCTGGCCTTTTGGGGGACCCCGTCGCCGCGGCCAGATCCACTTCGATACTGAGGGTAGAAAATGCCCCTTCCTCGGGATAGTTCGGGGGGCCGACCTTGAGCACAGACACAAGGATCGGCGGCGGGCCAGGGGGGGAGGGACGGGAGAGGGGGCAGGCCTTCTCAGAAGGCGGCAGGGCTCCTCCGGAACCCTCGCGCCGTTTGAGAGGTCTCCTGAAAGCCATCGCTTCGAAGATAGGGGGGTGGCTTCTCAGAAGGCGGCGAAGGGTTCTGAGGAGTGCAGCGGCCGCACAAGAAGGCCTGCCCCCTGGCACTCATCCCCCCTGGGCCCGCGCCGCCGAAAGAAGGCCGCCCTCCTGGGATCCGACGAGTCAAAGACAGTACGTAGAACATTTAGAACAATCACGACTTGAGCCCTGGGCCCTATCTTCCTGCGGTGTCTTTCGAGCCCAATCGATCTGTGAGGGTGCCGGAGCCCTAAATCATGCGGCAGCGCCCAGCTCGAAACAAGAAGTGCGACGCCATGATCGCAGGGCCTCTCCTCTTCGGCCACGCCTCCTTTCCGATCAGGACGTGAGGCTGCGGCCCAGCGGCGCCCTGCTCACCCGAGGTGCCGGCCGCCCCACATGCCTGGCACCCGCGCTGCTCGCTCGCTATCGCTCGTCCCCGTGCTCGCCGCCGCGTCCGCTCCGCCGGCCCCGCAGCAGGCAGAGGGCGGGATCCCTCCTCTCCTCGATCCTGCTCCTCCTGCTCCTCCTCCTCCTGCTCCTCCAGTCCTTTTCCTCATGAATAACTTCTCCCTGTCGCACCCCTAGGCCAGTTTCCAGGACGGGCCGGGCGTTTCGCATGGGACTCTCTCACCATTTATGACTCTGAAGCTTGGAACTCGGCAACATTTTCACAGATGGAGGGCGGGTGGTTTTCAACATGTGGTTCTCGATTTCGCGCCGCGCACAATCGTTCTAAAACATTCCGAGAGCGTCACGGATTGAGGATGACCCGTTTTCAAAATGTGGCTCTCGCCTTAGCGCCGCGCACATTCGTTCTAACAAATTGCAACAGCTTCACGGACTGAGGATGACCCGTTTTCAAAATGTGGCGCTCGCCTTAGCGCCGCGCACATTTGTTCCCTACCTAGGCTCTGCCTAGAAGGGTTCTTACTCTCTGGGCTTAAAGGGGCTGGGCAGTGGAAAGCGCCCCGGGCGGTTCCCCCAGTATCCGCCCCGCGGTTCCCCCAGTTACGTCCCCTTAGCTTAGCGTTGCTTGTCTCATCTTATTTTAGCTTATTTCATCTTAGCTTAGCTTAGCTTCATCTTAGCTCAGGTTTATCTTAGCTTAGCTTAGCATGGGGTGTAATTCCCTACCTAGGCTCTGCCTAGAGGCTCAGCTTAGCTTAGCTTCGCATAGCGCAGCGCTGCATTAGCATAGCATAGCATAGCATAACATAGCCATACATATCATAGCATAGCATATCATAGCGCAGCATAGCATAGCATAGCATGGCATAGCATAGCATAGCATATCATAACATATCATATCATAACAACGCGCAACTTAGCATAGCATATCACACCATACCATAGCTTAGCATAGCACAACGCAGCATGACATAGCATAGCATATCATATCGTAGCATAGCAGAACATATCATAACATAGCGCAGCATAGCATAGCATGGAATATCATGGCGCAGCATAGCATGGCATAGCATGGCATAGCATAGCATAGCATAGCAACTAGTGCTGCTTTCCTAGGGGCTCCAACTTCTAGGTAGGGTCGCACTGGGGTAATTTACAATATCATTGCAAGAATTTCACGGATTGAGGGCGG